TTTTTTTTTTTTTTTTTTGAGTTGGAGCCTCACTCTGTCACTCAGACTGGAGTGCATGGCCGCTCCCGGCCACCGCAGCCTCGACGTGATGGGCTCCAGCGATCCTTCCGCCTCAGCCTTCCAAGTAGCTGGAACTACCCGTGGGCTCAGGCAATCCACTCACCTCGGCCTCCCATACAGGATTACAGGCTGAGCCACCGAGCCCGGTTCATTCTTCATTCTTTAGATCAGGGCAACAAAGCCAGCGACAACCACAATGGGAGCCCAGGGAGGCTGAGGTGAATGGATTGCCTGAGCCCGCGGGTTCGAGACCCTCCTGGGCAATTTGGCCAGACCTCATCTCTACAATAAATAAAAAATTAGCCGGGTGTGGTACCGCGTGCCTGGAGTTCCAGCTATTTGGAAGGCTGAGGTGGAAGGATCGCCATAGCCCAGCAGGTTGAGGCTGCAGTGGCCAGGAGCGCCCATTGCACTCCAGTCTGGGTGACAGAGTGAGATTCCAACTCAAAAAAAAAAAAAAAGATTCTAACTGGAACAATTTCCATTGCCCTGATAGAGCCCAGGGACGCTGGCACTCAAATGGTATTTCATGTATGTCTTTGTCTGCTTGTTTATTTACTTATTTAGAAATTTACTTTTTGAGTTGGGGCTTCACTCAGGCTAGAGTGCAGTGGCATGATGATGACTTGACCTCCTAGGCTTAGCCTTGACCTCCTAGGCTCAGGCGATCTTTCTGCCTCAGCCTCTGAGTAACTGGGGTCACATGAGCACACCACCATGCCCAGCTAATTTTTTGCTTTTTGCAGAGACAAAGTCTCACTATTTTACCTAAGCTGGTCTCGAACTCCTGGGCTCAAGCAGTCCTCCAACCTCAGCCTCCCAAAGTGCTGAGATTACAGGTGTGAGCCACCACACCTGGTCTGGACTTTCATTTATGACTTTTATCTTCCAAACAATCTGTTAATTTTTTTCGTTGTTCATTAGGAGAGGCATTGGATGGAAAGCGATAAATGAAATTTGACTTCTGATTGAATGGATTTTTTTTGTGTATGGCCAGAATTTGAGTCTCATTATGCATCTCAAGGACGGTTTTCCTATGGACTGCTTTCATCAGGAAAAGCATTGGATGGAGAGTGGAAAATGAAACTTAGGCTCTGAGCGAATGATTGTGTGTGTGTGTGTGTGTGTGTGTGTGTGTGTGTGTGTGTGTGTGTGTGTGTGTGTCCAAAGTTTGAGTCTCATTTTGCATCCCAAGGACATCTACTGGACTGTACCAACAGCCACCCAACATTCCAGCAGACAGACCCAGAAGCTGGTTGCATTGGAATTAGGGCACCCTAGTTAATGAGCACTAACCATATAGGGAAAAAAGTTAAATATGGTCATGAAACCAGGCCAAATGAGTGCACCCTGCATGGCGATGCTGTCTTGAGCTAAGTACAAACTAACATACCTGCTGTCTAAGAAGAATATCACTGGCCAAGCTTAGGTAGAGGGAGGATCATTTGAGGCTCACTGTAGGTACACAAGAGAGCAGCTCTTTGGGGAGACCCTGTGAACTGTAGTATCTCTGGCTTGCAGGCCTTCCCAGCTCCTTTAACGATGCACTGGCCTGCCTCCAGACCCTTGGAGAGGGAGGTTTCTCTCACTGTAGATGGGAGGGGGGCCACTGCTTTTCCACTGTCTCTGTTGCTTTAGCAGCTTTACGACTGAACGTTCCAAGGAAGAGGCCCCCCCTTAAAACGCGGAGGGTCTTTTCTGTTGCTAGTACTTAGCAAAACAAACATCGGTTTGTTGTTGAGACAGCAATCAACGATGGAGCGTGTGTTTCTGTGGAACTTGACGCCTTGGAAACCAGGCCAAATTGAAAAACCAGTTGGAAAACCTCAGCCCAGATGTTTGCAATAAGCTCTTTGTTCCCCACTGTGCACCCGAGATGCTCTCTCTCGTTTGAGCCCTGACCAGCAGCCACCAGAGCAGACACGTTTCAGCAGGACCTGGAAGTCAGTATCTACCCTGCGTCCTCTCTGACCTTGAAAAGTCTCAGCTTTGCTCCTTCGTTTACTAATCTCTACAATGGGAGTGTCTTTTTTTTTTTTTTTTCTGCTTTTCCCTTACATCATGGAAGTGGTAGAATTCATTGTTTTTCTGACTGTCTGGAGGGAGAAGGGGAAAAGGAAGGTTGAACGTATAAGGCATGTAGATTACCTCATTGAATCTCCATGGCAACCTGTTTGTTGGCATCCATGTTTTTATTTTAGAAATGGAAAACAGGTGCCGATAAGTAGTTGACCACAGCTCATATTGCCCGAATTTGCAGTAGATGGAATTTGAACCTGGGACAGTTTGACTCCGCTATTCTATTGATTCCTAAAAGAAGACGTGAGGAAAATGAGAGGGTTGGTTTTATTTTTTTTCATTTTGTAGTGGCGCTTATAAAAATTCCTATTTGAAAACTCGGAAGCACTTCATCAAGTTTTTATTTTTAATTGAGGTAAAATGCACATAACATAAAATTTGCCACCCTGACCTTTTTTGGTAACCAGTTCAGTGGCATTCAGTACGTTCACATTGTTGTACAATGTCACTGCTGTTCATCTCCAGAACTTTTTCATCTTACGAAACTGGCAATCACTGTTCTACTTTCTGTTTCCATGAACTCGATGCCTCTAGGTACCTCATACAATTGGAATCAGACAGTATTTGTGACTTTTTTCCATTTAGTATGATGTCCTCAAGGTTCATGCACGTTGTAGTATGTGTCAGACTTTTCTTTCTTTTGAGGGCTGAATGATATTCCATTGTATGAACATATCACAGTTTGTCAATGCACACTTGGGTCGCTTCTACCTCTTACCTACTGTACATAATGCTACTATGAACACAGATGTGCAAATATCTCTTAAAGACCCAGCTTCTGATTGGGCATGGTGGCTCATGCCTATAATCCTACTACTTTGGGAGATTGCTAGGATTATAGCACTATGGGAGGATTGCTTGAGCCCAGGAGTTTGAGCCCAGCTTAGACAAAGTAGCAAGACCTTGTCTGTACAGAAAAATTAAAAAATTAGCCAGGCATGGTGGCAGGCACCTGTGGTCCAGCTACTCGGGAGGCTGAGACAGGAGCATCGCTTAAGCCCAGGAGGTTGGGACTGCAGTGAGCTGTGATCATGCCGCGGCACTCCAGCCTGGGCGACAGTGAGACCTTGACTGAAAAACAAAAAAAATGTATCTCTAGCCTGCACACACCTTTGCGATTCCCATGTCACTGGTATCCCCATTATTCTGATGAGAAGAAGGGGCTTTGGCCAAGGTCATACGGTTAATTGGCTGAACCAAAATTGAAACTCAGCTTAATACCGAAAGCCTTGGCTCCTTTCACTCTACCATGCGGCTTCTAGGCTTAAATCCAAATTCTACCTTAATCGTGTTCAATTGACCATACCCCCAAATCACCTCAGCTGCTATTCTGGCAAGGGAACCCAGGAGGTCCAGAACTATAAGAATATCTTAACATAATACAACCAACTGATAGCCACACACAGCTGCTAGATTAGAGAAAAATTCTCACTCCATGTCAGACACTGGTGTCTCCAAAGACTCACCCCTGCATTGATGTGACATTTGGTTTCTCTCTTCTCTGCTTCCTTCAGGGCCCATCTGGTTGGACAATCTCCACTGCACTGGCAAGGAGGCGACCCTCGCAGCCTGCACCTCCAATGGCTGGGGCGTCACCGACTGCAAGCACACAGAAGACGTCGGTGTGGTGTGCAGCGACAAGAGGATTCCTGGGTTCAAGTTTGACAACTCGTTGATCAACCAGATAGAGGCAAGTCACACGCTCATGATGAGTCTATGTGAACATTTTTTGTCTTCTTCCATATAATTTTCTTCTCACCTACCGATTTCAAGAATCAATTTCAAGCACAAAGGAGTGGGACCCAACCCGACTGGATTTGGTGCGTGGACAGTTTAAGGAAGGATTTCTGGAGAAGCGATCCCATTGGTGGGGGAAAGGGTATTCCAGGCACAGAAAACAGCTTGGGCAAAGGCACAGGGGTCTGGAGGTGTGCACTAGGAATAAGCAAAGCATGATGCCCTGGAGTTAGGTATGCATCTAGGAGTGGTGTGAACTGGAGCTAGAAAGGTGGACATGAAACGCCTTCTCTGCCATGTTCAGGAGCTCGCTCTTGGGGTTGGGAAAATGTATCAGTTGTCAATTGCTGTGTAACAAATTGCCCTGAGATTTTACAGTTTCAAACAGTGAATATTTATGATCTCACACCGTTTCTGAGGGCAACTGCAAGAGCAGCTTAGCTACTTGATTCTGCACAGAGTTTCTCATGAAGCTGCAGTTGAGCTGTCCATAGGGGCTAGAAGATTCTCTCACAAGCTGACTCTATGGTTGCCATAGGCTGCCTGAGTGATCTCAAGACATGGTGGTTGTCTTCCCCCAGAGCGAGTGACCTACAAGACAGCGAGAGAAGGAGCATGACAAGGAAGGCAGCCTTTTATAACCTAATCTCAGAGGTGACATGCCATCACTTCTGCTGTGTTCTGTTGGTCATGCAGACCAACAGGGTGGGAGGAGATTGCCCAAGGGTATGATACAGAGGGTGGGATCGTTGGGCGCCATCTTGGGAACTGGCTACCACTGGCCAGTCATTTTTCAAATCTAGCTGAAGATGAGAATCAGTTTTTTTTTGGTTTTTTTTTTAGTTGGATTCTCACTGTCACCCAGACTGGAGTGAAGTGGCCGCTCCTGGCCACTGCAGCCTCGACTTGCTAGGCTCCAGCGATCCTTCCGCTTCAGCCTTCCAAGTAGCCAGAAGTACAGGCGTGCGCTACCACATCCGGCTAATTTTTGATTTATTGTGGTGATGAGGTCTCGCCAAGTTGCCCAGGAGGGTCTCGAACCCGCGGGCTCAGGCAATCCACTCACCTCAGCCTCCCATATGCACAGAATTACAGGCTGAGCCACCGAGCCCGGCCCAGAATCAGTTTTAAAATGCAGGTGCTGGGGCCTCCCTGCTCAGCTACCAACGCAGAATCTTCTTCTATGGGAGCAGGTTATTTTTCTTTAAGTTCCTCCTAGATGATTCTGATGTCCAGCCTGACCAAGTCAGCATGTAGAAATGGCTAAAAGGGCTTGTAACCCATTTATGACTAAATTTCAGATTTAGGTTTTCAACAAGTTCTTGGCCCAAGCATCTAAGTTAACAAACGCTTATTGAGCTACTCTTATGTGTGATGTATGTAGGGGCTTAGGACAGGAGGGGTCAGCAGCCAAGATACCTGTCCTCAAGGAGCATGTTGAGCGTCTCCTGCAAGGGACTGTGGGATCTGCCATGAGTCCTGACCAAGGAGCCTTCACGGTGCTTCAGCCTCCAGCTGACCCCAGCACAAACATGGATAAAAGGTGACTTGAAATTGCCCCACTTTGGCTCCAAAGGAAATCCCACAGAGACTGTGGACTTGACTCGTATGACTCACCCTGTTCTGCTCTTTTCTCCTGTGTTCCCAGAGTACTCAAGTACACTGGGAACTTGTCCAAACCTGTATTACAGCATGGAAAGATTTCCAGACATCTCTCAGCTGGAAGGATGAGACCACTTCTAGAAAGCTGGCCCTGTTCAAATGCTGCTATTTTAACTAGAGAGATAACTAGAGAGATTCATTTACAGTTGTATACTTTATTTAGCATCCAATCACTGGTGATAACCTTGCTTTACCATGAAGTTAATATCTGGCAGGTGGGCTCCGACCCAGTTTCACAAAACTGTCCATCTCCACTCTTTATAACCTCATGGAGAATAATTAGCACCCGCTTATATGTATCTCATCTCTCTGAGGAGACTGGAAGCTCTCAGAGGACAAGACCTATAACTTATCATCATTGTATCCAGTAGATACATCCTAGGTACCTCATGGGGACAAATCTCCAACACCCAAATTTTCTTCTCCCCAGAAATGCAAACCAGAGATCTTTATCCCCATAGGTAGAGAATCTCCCAGGACAAAATATTAAGCTAAGCAGCAATAAGAAGCACCTAGAAGCAAATCATTTCTTCACAGCTTGCCCTGCCTAATAGGACAATGAGCTTATTTGTAACATATTCAATGGGCCTCTGTTCGGCCTAGAAGCTCAGGACCATCCCCTTGGAGCATCAAGTAAAGACCCGGGCTTCTTGGCATAAGAAAGTCATTGATGTGGCCGGGCTCAGTGGCTCAGCCTGTAATCCCAGCACTCTGGGAGGCCAAGGTGAGTGAATTGCCTGAGCCCACGGGTTCAAGATCCACCTGGGCAACTTGGCAAGACTCCATCTCCACAGTAAATCAAAAATTAGCTGGGCGTGGTAGCGCACACCTATAGTTCCAGCAGCTTGAAAGGCTGAAGCGGAAGGATCGCCAGAGCCCAGCAAATTGAGGCTGCAGTGGCCAGGAGCTTACCACTGCACTCCAGTCTGAGCTACAGAGTGGCTCCAACTCAAAAAAAAAAAAAAGAAAGAAAGAAAGTCACTGATGGCTTGCATAAAAGGAAGGTGGGCCAAAAGGTCAGTGGATTTGGGGTTGAGAAAATGAGAAGACTCCTCTGCCATCAGAAAAAAAAAAAAGGTTTTTGGAAAAAGGACTCTGTGAGAGACATTTCATTAGAAAACATTTATCGAATACCTACTAAGTGCTAATTCTAACACTTAGCATGTGAATGGGAAGTAAGTTACATCAGAAGCAGAACCTTCATGGGGTGGAATAAGCCTAGAAAAGACTGAAAAAATATGCTGGAAAGTACACTCTTATTCTGGAAGGGCTGAGGTTCCATGATAGGAAAACTTAGTGCTTATCTTTAATCTGGACGTTTGAGGGGTGCCTGCTACACATTATGGTCTGGGACACCAGTAGGGAAGGAAAATATGACTCTTGGCCTTCAGCCCTTAGAACCTGCAAGATGAATGCCTTGGGGAAGGCTGGGAGATCACCCAAGGCAGGAGCGTGGGTCTTAGTGAATTTATAGAAACCCAGAGAGGGCGGCCTGGGAGACGTCTGGCTCAAAGGTCCAAAGGACGTCCACAGTCTTTCACGCTCTACATTTTCCTAGAAGGCCACCTTCTTCCCACTGTACAGATCAGACTGGTGACCACGAGCCAGGGTGGAGCTTTCTTGCCCGACCACAGATGCTGAGGGAACTTTCACTGATGATCAGTCTCCTGTAAATTCTTCCCTTTGGTATTCGCTGAAAGTAGGTCATGAAAGAGGTTAGACCTCAGGATGTCTGACGAGAACCTTTGTGAGTTGCCAGAAGAGTCTTACATCCAGGGCTTTGTGGCTAAGGCTCATGCTTACTGGCAGCACTGGCCTGAGGATGGGTAGGGAGCCGCCTAGACCACCTTTGGGAGCTATTTGTGGGTTGCTGCTGAGACATTTCTTCAAAATGCCTCACGAATAGCCTGTGTCAGTCACTGAAGTCATGGAATCATTCCTCTTGGCGAAAGAAATGCCCCCTCTTAAAGTTTTGTGGACAAGAGAAACAGCTTTGGTGGACAGGCATTAGGTGAAGTCATAACATACTGACTAATGATACCCAGGGCAAATGGTTGACTAATTAGTGTGAACATAGTGGCTAGTCTCTAAGGGTGTGACCTAGGACTCTGTTTCTGCCTCTCTATCATGTGTCAAGAATTTTCATCAAGATTAAAATGTGGGCCGGTGTGGTAGCTCACACCTATAATCCAAGCACTTTGGGAGGCCAAGGTGAGAGGATTGCCTGAGCCCATGGGGTTCGAGACCACAGGATAGAGACCAGCCTGGGCAATTTGGGGAAACTTCATCTCTACAATAAACCCAAAAATTAGCCCGGCATGATGGCGTGCGCCTGTGGTTCCAACTCCTTAGAAGGCTGAGGTGGAAGGATTGCCTGAGCCCAGCAGGTTGAGGCTGCGGTGGCCGTGAGCATGCCACTGCACTCCAGCCTGGGCAACAGAGTGAGACTCCGACTCAAAAAAAATAATGTACTGATAAAATTTATAGGAAATACGAAACTAGGAAGGATTGCTATTGCAAAGTTACAGAATGAAGATTCAGAAAAACTGTAGTACGTTGAAATAATAGGCTCAAGCTGTAACATATTAAGGATGAATATATGCCGGACTCAGTGGCTCAGCCTGTAATCCCGCGCCTGTGGGAGGTGAATCTCTGAGGTGGCAATGATGAACTAAAAAGCTGTCAGTATTAGCCAAAAAAGTACGATAGGGCTGCTAAAAAAAAAAAAAAAAAAAAAAAAGAATGTGAGCTGCTATACTTATAGAAGAAGTCTTTCCCTAAATGTTTCAGTTTTAGATCAATACCTGAGTGTGGGATTCAGTTCTGGATCTGACTCTTAACAAAGTCACCCAGAGGAGGGCCAGCAGAAAGGCAACAAGTCTGGAAACCGTATCATATGAGGAACTGAAGATTTTTTTTTTTTTGGTCAAGAAAAGATATATGGGGGAAGCATGTCAGTTCTTTCCAATGATCTGAAGTACTACCATGCAGAAGAGCGTTTCTAATTGATTCCAACTCCCAGAACTAAGACAGAAGGAATAGAAATGGGAGGTAGATTTCGGTTCAGTGGAAGCCCTACGTGGTTGCTCTACCCTAGCTGGTGGTGAGCTCCTTGTCGCTGGAGGGATTCAAACACAAGCCGGATGACCTCCTGCCAGGAATATTGCGGTTGAGTGCCTACATGGGGAAGGAAGTGGGATGAAGTGATTGCCAAGTTCTAAGATCCCTTGTTACTTGGCGTCTGTGAAAATGCACCCGTCTCATGTGGCAGGTGTCCTCTAGCTGGTTATT